GGATGCAGCCTGGACCAGATGATTTCTAAGGTTTTTAAAAATTTTAAGATGTGTTGTCTGTTGAGAGGTATTTAGTTACCATTTCCATTTCAAACTGAAACAATGGTTTCCCATTTGGTAGATTTGGAAGTTTGGGAACCTGAAGCTGGTTCATCTCCAAGCTTGCTGGCTACCATTGCCCATTTCTATTGTTTGCTGACTCTTAGCTGAGAGCGGTACACAGGTGGCTGTGGTCTGTTCTCCCTTTCTGTTCAGGAACTTCTTTATCAATAGCTTTCTTTTTGTGAGACTTCAGAGAAATCAAAGGAAACTCTTACTAGAAGTTGGGAATCGTGACTAAATGTTGAGTCTTAATCATTCGTTAGGCTTCCTTTCTATTTATATATTGTTTTGGCAGCTGTAGTTACAGGAATTCTTCTTATGATGGTCTAATTTTGAATTCCGAAGACCCAGAGACCACCTTTAAAAAAATACTATTGTGGCCCATGACCCTGTAACTTGGTTGCTCAGATCTGATTAGAATCTGAATGTATATTTATATTTATCAATTTAAAGATAAATGCCTATGGGGAGAGAGGCTGGACCTGGAAAGCATGCTTGAAAATCATTGAGGAGAAACATAATACCAATTGTTATATAGGATGATTTTTGTTTGTACCTTGTTCTGAGACCTTTCTCTTGCTTGTTTTTCTTCTTTCAGTGAAAGAGACATTTTATCCTCTAATAAAGGAAATATATTCACTTCAATTTTTTCAGATTTCAAGCAGTGGCAGAAGGTAAGACTTTCTAATAAACAGCCTGGTAATCATAGTACTGGTTGTAAACTTGACACCCCTCACCTGGAACTGAGTCACATCTCATCTTTTAAAAACACCTTACTGAGTTTTATGAAAGACAAGGAAAATAGCAAGACCACAGGGGCTTTTTGAAATACACATATATTTTTAGTTTTATTTCAGATTTGTGGGTCAAATGGAGTTAGACTGCTAGTAAAAACAAACAAACAAAAAAACAACTGGTGGCAATGAGTGTAGTTCTGATTCTCTTACCTAATTGTCAGACATATGTAACATTTGTG